GCCCGAAGGTAGGCACCGCTCGCTCGTGTGTGGCCCGAGCCGCATGAGGGGAAATCCCTTTCTGCCCGAGTTTACCTTCTCTGGCTTCACTGTCATAGATGAGCACTTTAGTTCCCTCCAGGACAATGTATTTCCTATCCCAGCCTTGTTGTCCTCGTTTATTATTTCTGGGAAAATAAAAATTAAAAGGATGTTTCAACCTCCAAAAATTCTGGCCTAGGGGAAAAAATCCTAGAAAGGCAGACTTCACTTGAGAATCACAAGAGTGGCAGCTGCCCAGTCTGGGGGCCAATGGCGCCGGCCAGGACAGCCTGGAGGAGCTCCCAGCCTCCTGCACCAGCACCTGTCCAGGCTGAAACAGACTCAGCAGTCTACCTTGGCACCTTCATCCATCCTTCCAAACGTAAATTGGTGCTTGGCTCCTTGAGCTGCAGTCCTGGGGAGTTCATTTTGTCCCGGCAGAAGGCTTCAGTGAAGTGTGTGGCGTACTCAGCGGGCAGACCACAGGTAGCTGGCAGGCATGTTGAACACTTGGGGTGGCACATTACTTGACATTCTACAGAAGAGAGAAAAACCACCTGAAAGCATGCAGCCAAAGTAGGCCTGCTCGGCTCTTAACCAGTCAGCCCCAGGGCATCTCTAGGCCACCAGCTTAGCAGCATTTTTCTCATCTGAAGCCCCCTCTCCCAAGAAACCTTGAAAGTGCCTCAGTGCCAATCACACAAGAGAGAAAACAGAACGCCACACTTCTGGAACCAAGGTTACAAAATACCACCGGACTAACTGCAAACCCTATTTTAAAAGAAAGATGTTGGCTTTGTGTTCCGATTTCAGTCAGAACCAACACATCTCCTGAAGACAAGCCTGCTCTGACAGGAGAGTAAGAAATAAGTGAAAACCCATGGTCCTTGCCAAGACATCTGCACAATGAATGGCAGTCATACGCTAAAGAAATGCAGAAACATATTTCTCTGACACAAAGGGAGAATAATGTCTCTGCACAACTCCTGCTATCACGAGGAGCTTCTCTAGAGCCCTTGAAAAAGAGAGGAGAGAGAGAAAATAGACTTCTGTTAATTGAAAAGATAAAACTGAATTAAGCAATGTACATTCCCTAAAAATAAAAAATCAGTGTAGTGAGCAGAAAATAAGGAGAACCAGCACCAGCTTCCAAGACTTTTTTCTTTTTCTTTTTTTTTAGGCAATTGGGGTTAAGTGACCTGCCCAGGGTCACATAGCTAGTAAGAGTCAAGTGTTTGGTCTGAGGCCACATTTGAACTCAGGTCCTCCTGACTTCAGGGCCGGTGCTCCATCCACTGCACCACCTAGTTGCCCCCCAAGACTTTTTCTTACCAAGACATTTGGACGCCTGACGTCCAAAGTGCACGGTATCCAGACACACTGCACACTTTGTGGCTCTCATGTTCAGTCCCACATTGAATCGATGGGGGATATTGTGGTGCATTCGCTCTTTTAGACGCCGATTAAACTCTGAGAAGGAAGGGAGAAAAACACTCAAGTCATGACAGAGGAGGTTGTTTAATGATTATTTTAATACTATCTGCTCATCTGTATTTAAAATTCATTTAGTCATTAAGTTTTAAGTTTCTATGAAGGAATATCTTGGGCCTCACTTATATGAGGTTTCTATTTCAAGGCTCCGACATTTCACTCAACGATGCAGGTCACAACTCCTTAATGTCTAAGTAAATGGCGTTCACACACTGCAGTCAACGTTCTCTGGACTCTGGGCTGACAAGGCACCACGGTGCTCACTCATTTCCAAGAGCCTACATCTGAAACTCAAGTTCTTTCCAGATGGCCCACCACGGCCAGGAGGTAGCCCTGATTCTCAAGGGCTGTGCCAGCGGAACTTCACAGAGACTTTGAGCCCTGGGCAGACAGATGATGGACCACATCTCTGCTGCCCAGAGAAGAGTCTCTGTCCGGAAAGGCTTATGACCAGGTTGGCCATGCGGAGATGCCAAAGCATGATGGCAGCGAGGAGCTATGATCTGTAACTGGAAGGGTTAACGCCAACACCCATGAAATCACAGATCCTCCCTATTCAAATGAATGTCTATTAGTCACCTTTATTTATAGGTGAATTTAGCTCACTTCTGAGACCAAGGAAAACATACCCTGCGAGCTGTAATGTCAGCCTACCTTCTGGTGTGGAGGACTCTTTTCTCCGACTGGAAGGTGGAGCCAGCAAACTTATTGGGTTGGGCTGGTGCTCTGGGGACCTCACGATTGCAGACATGACGATCTGCTGCCGTGCAGTGGCTGGAGTGGATGGGTGGGGGTGGTCTGAGGCTTTACGATGGGCAGCTGCAGACAGAGCAATAAAGTGCCCATTGAGGCATCAGAAAAGGGGGAAGAAGCACAGCCTCGATCTGCTGGGTCACCCTCAGGTTTGGTCACCAGAAAGCAGGACGCCCTGGGGTAGGTTCATTAGATACAAGAGGCGGCTCCTGAGGACTGAGAATGAGTGGCCCAGAGAAAGCCTTGCTGAATCTAAGTGGATTCAGACCCTCCGCCTTTTTCGGAGACTGCCCGATGACGCTCCTACCTTCTTCTCGAGCAGATCGCAGCTCACTCCGGGTTTTCTGCAGCGCCTCCTCCAGCTCTGCACAGCGGGCCTTCTCCTTCTCCAGGGCCGCCTTCAGCTCATTGTACTGCAGAGGAACCTGTGTGGGTAAAGCAGGGTCCTCTTTCCGTCGACTAAATAAGCCCTAGCAATGGAAACAGAGATAACTCCTAACTCCTAGAAAGTGGTGCTTTAAACTAGCTAAAGGAAAGCTGCCAGGGTGCAAAGCACAAAAGCCAGCGGGCATACTCACTGTAAGTGTATTTAGTAACAATTGCATTTGAAGGGGGAAAATGTTAGGATGAGTCACGGTCAGCTCTTCCCAGCTGTAAAAAATGGGGGTGTGGAAGTTTTCAGCAAGAGGGTTAAAGATGCTTAATTTGCCACCACCTCTTCATTTAACATTTCCAAGGTAGTAGAATCATCTCCTGACAGTCTTTGTCCTCAAAAAATGCAAGTAGAGCATGAAGTCATGGACAGATTGTTCAGAAGTCAATCTCTCCTTTGGCTCTTATAATTCTAAATTATGAGACAGAGTCGAGCATTTGGTAGAGGGGAGGGAGACGAGACACTCGAACGACGTTAATGAGAATGCCAAAATGAGGGATTTACTAAACAAAAAAATGCACAAAAAGAAAAAAAACGATATTAACTTTACAGGGAGAAAAAAAATCATCCTACAGATGAGCCAAGACACAAACAACCGCTCGTGAAAGGAACATACATTCAGCTTAGCCAGGGAACAGTCCTTCGCTAAAGCCATCTTACATCAGAAGCACTAGCAGACTCACACGGCCACACAATCTACAAGGAACTACTTTCTCTGCAGCCACCACTCAGTAGCAGGCTGGCTGCAGCAGACCTGCTCCTCAGGGAAGCTCTCCTCCTAACGTAGCCTTGGGACATGTTTCGGCTGCCTGGTCAATCCGAGCCTCTGATCCTTGGTCTTCCAAACAGTCCCAGACTTTTCTTGTACTAGCCCAGCCATGACTACAGCAGAGCCGAAGCCCGATGCCCAAGTCTTAATGTCATTGAAGATAGTTGCAAATTCCTTGGAGATCTTTTTAGAGCTCACAGTCCTTAGAAGCCTAAGGTCTGCTTTCACTATTCATGGATCTGGGACCCAAAGTGTAGTATGAGAACTAAATTATTTAGAAAACAGTGTTTGGGTTATGAAAATAGGTTTTTGCACATAAAATAGATATGTACACACATAAAGTAACTCATACATTTTAATTTGCTTTTATATTTTAATGAGTAGGAAGTAAGAAATACAGCCGTGTGAGAGAAAGGGCAGGAGGCCTGCATTTCTAGTCCCAGCTTGGAGAAGTCACTCCTCCTTTCTGGAGCTCAGTGTCTTCATCTGTCAAAAGAAGGGGTTGGATTCCTTAGGGTCTCTTCGAGCTCTAAACTCGTGCGCTGACCCCTTCACTTTTCTCTAGCTGCCCTAAGAGCGACCCCTCTAGAGGAGCCACAACAACAGGGAGGCCACTGAAATATTAAAGGTCATGGAAGCAAAACGGTTTAGCAGAAGGCCTGGCTAACACATCTCAACTGGCGACAAGGTAAGCGTCTTCAGTCAAGAGAAAAACGGCTTCTTTTTTTCTTTATGTGCCTGGGCATAACTCTATCAAAACGGTGTCCCAGGAATCTGACTGGGGATTCTTGCTTTCCAAACCCTTTCACCCACCTTTTTCTTCTTAGCAGGTTGGTCCATCTTCGCCTGCAGAAAATCAATGAGCTTGGTTTGCTGGGAAATCGTGCCTTCCATTTTCACTTTTTCATGAGAATAAAGGACCTAAAAGTCACAGGAAAGGGAAATTGACCTTAGAAGTAGAAGCAGACCCGCTCAGCCTTGTTCTGCAACAGTGGCAGAGGAATACGCACAAAGGATCGCTCCGCATTTAAAGCGCTCGCTGCAGCAGGACACACTGGCCCTTTGGGGCATGACAGCAGCAGAGAAGATCTCGCATCGGCTCCGATTCCCGGCCAACTCATACCTGAATATTTTCGAGCTGATACTCCAGGTCACTCCTTTCTGTCTTGAGCAGGTCAGCCCGATCTAGAGCCTCTTGGAGTCCTTGAGTCAAACGGAAGATGTGATTCTTCTGCAAGTCCATTTGTTGTTGCAGTTTTGCTTGCTGGTGATAAGAAAACCGTGACACAGCTGGATAGAATGTATAAAGCTACCAGGGATCCTCCTGCTTCCCCCTCCCACTTATTTTGGGTGACGTCTCACTCCCCTCCCCAGTCCCTTCTTAAACTGATCTTCTTAGTGAGTCATAAAATGCTCAGGAAGGGAATTCCCTCTACTGATGCGGATCAACACCCACCCTGAATCGTGTACTCTTGGAGGGTGTCCTGAGACGCTGCAGAGACCCCTCCTCGACCTCCCTTTAAGACGCGGCTCAAACCCGGTCTTCCTAACTGCTAACATCTTCCTCTTTCAAATTACCTTCCTTCTACTCCGCATATCTTACATGGACCTGATCATTTATACATATGCCGTCTCCCCCTGTGAATGAGAGATCACACGGCTCGCCCAGCTTCACGTGCCAGGGCCTGTCAGAAGGCAGGCTTGGACAAAGGTCTGATTCCTGACTTGGAGGCTCCCTGTCTTTCCACTGGCCACCCTGCACAGAATCACTGTACACCCGGTACAGAATCATCTACAACTTTTCCTTCCATTACAAAATGATGCACAAATCAAGGAAGAGTTTTCAGAGAAGTTTCAACCAACAACAAACACAAAATCTGACACTACACATTGAGGCTCTTCCAAGATTACCTGTGGGGCTGCCTTATAGATTAAACCAGCTTAGTCAAGCACCAAAAAGTTCTTGTTATAAATACATCCTCTTCCCTCTTTGGATCAGAGACCAAACAGGCCGGGTTTATACTGAATTACACCTTATAACGACTAGTTTTAAAGCAATATTTCAATGTGCTGGTCTCGTGTTTCTGAAGACCATTACTTTCCATTTCTAGAATTCCTTTCTCACTAGTTAGTAAAGGATGCACTGACTGCTCGGCGCACACACACACACACACACACACACACACAAACTAAATGCAATTATCACAGCCTATTCAAATGATCTTTTTGGGGGGGGCAAGTAGAAAATTATTCCTACTTTGGGGAACTAAGGAAATAAAAATTATACTTTCTCAATTCATACACCACAATGAAAGAATTAAGCAAAATTAATATTAATGAACTAATCGAGATGAATACATTAAAATCCAGAATGAAAATAACCCATCTCCTGGGCATATAATTCAAAAATCAACTCTGGTCTATTAGAATTCCAATGAAAAATTTCAAGTACATTTCCTAAAAAGTATGCATTAATATATATCCTACAAAACCAACCAGTTGATTTGCTTTTCTTGTTCCAAGTATAATGCTCTAAGACTTACATGCTTCAAGGATCCATGAATTTGACGGTGCTGATGAGACTTCAGACAGACTACAAAGTCCTCTAGAGCCTACTTCCATTGTCCTGATGAAAACCATCAGCAGCAACACTGGCATGGAATCTTAGTGTGTCCCACTTGAAGGAAGCTCACTTTAAGGCTTTGGGCCTTGGAGAACTGATGAAGTAGGTGATGGTTCATTTTGCAGAACCAGAGGCCTCAGAGCATACAGAATGCAGTACAGAATGTGCTGAACTGCAGCTCTTGGTGATTACCCCAGCATGATCTTTGAGCTGGGCACTATTTGATACAGTAAATAATCAGACAAAAGGAAGAGACCTAAAAGTCAGGAGCTATCAATGTACAGTTGGGGGATAGTCAATCATGGGGTAAATGTCTTTGGAGAGTGGAAAGTGCAGACCCTAAAGTCAAGAAAGTGCCACGAAGGCCTTGCCAATAGACTGCTACCATACATGCCATAGGACGGCAATGACTTCTTTACCAAAGAATTTTGTTCAATTTAATCTCTTTGAAGATTTCTCTCGTTAGAATCTTTTCCATTTCAGAAGAGAAGTCAAAGAGAAAAAAGGATCTGCCATACAAAACCCCAAATTCTTCTGGTCTGTCAAGTAAGAGGAGGGAACCTGAGTCTTGCCATCTGCCTTGACTTCCCCCAGCTCTGTATTTTCCTTCTATAGTCCACTACAAACCAGACCACAGGTTTTCTGGATAGTTGGTTTAATCCACCCCACTCAAAGATGAATTTTTTTTTTTTTTGGGTGAGGCAATTGAGGTTAAGTGACTTGCCTAGGGTCACACAGCTAGTGTCAAGTGTCTGAGGCTGGATTTGAACTCAGGTCTTCCTGGCTCCAAGGTTGGGTCAAAGATAGATTTTTGAAGATTTTTTCAAAGGACAAAAAAAGAACAGAGGTATAAAAATAGCAAATAAGCCTTTCAAGGGGAAGTGAAAGTAGGTGCTTCTGTTAACTATGGAGCTCATGGCTCAAGCAAACACCAAGACTGACACGAGCAGTTTGCCACCTCCCCTCTTTTCCCTTTCTCCCCCATTTCTCTTACGTGTCTCAGTCTCTCTTCCATCGCTGCTCTATTAGCCTCTCTTCCAGCTCCTTTCTCCCAAATGAACAGAATGTTTATGGCACTTTCATTCATCTGGGATCTCACCAATGAAGGAAGGACCTCCATCAATAAAAAGTGTAGCCCACTGAGGTATTTTAATCCAATTTGATTCCTATCTCTGTCATCTCACTGTGGCATCCAGAGAACTCATCCAATGTGCAGGAGGCCTTTTTCTAGCTATCTTTATATTTCCTGGGTACCAGTTCAGTTCTAAGGCTGTTCATCTGCTATCCTCCTTTTCCAATCAATATATGTCCGCAATGACATCCCTTATGCTAATTCTTTTACATAAACTACTTTCAGCAATATGCTACAGGCTACTTGCTCTGATCACACATTTCTTCACAGCATTTGACTCATCCTCAATTCTGATTCCTCAGACTATATTTTCTTTTCTTTCTTTTTTTTGGGGGGGGGGGAGGCAGTTGGAGTTAAGTGACTTGCCCAGAGTCACACAGCTAGTTAAGTATCAAGTGATCAAGGGTCTGAGGCCACATTTGAACTCAGGTCTTCCTGACTCCAGATCCAGTGGTCTATCCACTGTGTCACCTAGTTAGCTGCTCCTCAAACTATATTTTCTCAAGCATCACAATCATGCTGCACTTCTGGGGGAACACGTGTGTTTTGTTTTGTTTTGGTTTTTTGATGAGGCAATTGGGGTTAATTGACTTGCCCAGAGTCGTACAGCTAGTGAGTGTTATGTGTCTGAGGCCGCATTTGAACTTAGGTCCTCTTGACTCCAGAGCCAGTGCTCTATCCACTGCACCACCTAGCTGCCCCTTGTGTTTTTTTTTGTAAATGAAGTTTTGGACCAGAGAGCTGCTTAGATAGTTTAAATCACTGAACAATTTCCTAATTGCAATCTACTCCTTCTACGTGGGGCCCAGTTCATGGTTCTCCTGTTGTGCCCAACTGCGGAGACGGTATATAATCTAACATTTTTCATCTACTTGGATTTTTCCTGTGTGAATGGTAAGTGCCAAACCCTTCTAAGTGCTTACAGTTCTCATTTAGGAGACTCCTCCATGTTCCAGAGCTTGCTGCCATTAGCACAATGTCAACTACATACAGGAGCATCTGAGGAGAAAATCCCTCTTCTACTTACACCTTAAGCAGAGAATCCCCTTCATGAAAATGAAAAACATCTTTAGCAAGCATAGCTCTCTTGCTTTGTCCTGATTCACGTTAATTTATGTGGGTCATCAAGAAGCATAAGTTTAGTTGCATTTATCCAGGAATCTTGCACTAGCTTAACATATGTATGTAATTCTTCGCTAGAGGGGAGACTTTAAGGCTCTACTTTACTCTACACCAAGTCAAATGATTTTTTTGGAGAGAAGGAGGGAGAATCAATGAACAATAAACACAGTGAGATATTGTTTTCTCTGGTCATTTGTTTAACTGTAAAGATGTGGTCTGTCATAGAGAACTATTTGCAAAAGCCTGACTGATCCCATTTTATATTTTCATCAAAGAAACCTTGAAATGTCTAATTATTCTCATAAAGATTTCTGTGAAGATGAGAAAGGCATATGGGTCAATAATTACTGATGTTCTCTAGATCACCTTCTTTAGGAAAGAATATAGTCCGTGGTTTTTTTCCTCTTCTCATCATACTTTCCTTTCCCTGAGATGCTTGTAAAATGACCTCCCAACACTTTCACAATGATAGCATTTCCACCATGAGTCTCTTCAGCAAATACAGGGCCTGATCCAGCCACTTGAACCAATGGCATGTCTGTTCTTAAAGGGCTCTGACCAATTCCCTGCCAGTTACACCAGGGTCCAAAGGAAGAGATTCCACTCTCACCAACAACAAACACAAAATCATTATAGAAACAATGACACATGTGCTCCATTTCCCGTCCCTGTGGCCACTCCTGAGAGGAGGCGTCTCCCCTGGGTCTCAGACCAAGCTTCCTGCAGCCAGCTTTTCAGTTTTATGAGACAATGAGACATGATGTCATCCTGCTCTGTATCCAAAGTGGATGGATAGGCTGCTGTAGCTCTGCCTGGCAAAGGGGTAAAGGCTCCCTGGCTGAGGTGGCTTCTGACTTGGGGGCCTCCCAACTGTGGTAATTACTTTAAAATGGTAAAAAAATGAATTGTCTTTTTCCACTTTCCATTCTTTGGTATCATGTGAACAGGGCAGGTCAAAGTAGCTGCAGCTGTTGACAATACCTCCTTAGCATTGTGTCCTTTCTTCTGGTAATTTTGGTTTTGATCTGTTCTGTAGATTATCAAGGACTTATTAAGCAACCACTGTGTACCAGGCACCTACTAAATAGCAGAATACAAAGGTAAACACAGAAATAATCCTGACTCTACTGGGATACAACACGTACATATATAAGCATATACAGTGCAAATGTACACAAAATAAAGAAGATATAACATAGTTAGAGGGGGCAATGACAGTTGGGGGGGAAGGAAACATTAAGAAAGGCTTCCCTTGAGAGGATGGCATGCCTGAACTACATCTTGAAGGAAAAGAGGGACTCTATGAAGCACAAGGTGGGGAAGAAGGAGATGCCAGACTTGGGGCACAGCCAATACAAAGGCATGGAGGCGGGAGGTGGGAGGTGGA